TGTGTGTGTGTATGTGTGTGTGTCTGTCTGTATGTGTGTGTGTATGTGTGTGTGTATGTGTGTGTGTCTGTATGTGTGTGTGTATGTGTCTGTATGTGTGTGTGTATGTGTATGTGTCTGTATGTGTGTGTATGTGTGTGTGTATGTATGTGTGTCTGTATGTGTCTGTGTGTATGTGTGTGTCTGTATGTGTGTGTTTCCAGCCACCACACACCAAAAGCATCCTGTCAGGTGTCTCTGCCCTCAGGGGTGTCTGACAGAGAAAAGCTGCTACTGGGAGACCCATTAAGTTGGATTGGTCCACAAGAGGATGGCCATCAGGATCAGCGGGGCAGAAAAGGCGATTAACAAGAGGCTCCAAAGTGCAGGGGGATGAGCCTCCATGAAGAGGGCAAGGAGACTTCTGATTGGAAGATGACACCATCACCTCATTGGTCAGGCAGAGTGGGGGAGGAGTCAGAGGAACAAATATATGAACAGAAACTGCTCATTGGTCTGAAGGAAGCAGCGCAGGTGTCCTCTTTGCCCATGTCCATGGCAAACTACGGCCTTCTGAGGAGACCCATAGTGTCAGTTTGCTATAGTTATTCAAATTCTGCGTGATGAATCTGAAACTGAAATTCAGGAAAAACCTCAAAGAAACCAGAACCGAAAGCAGCCAAACAAAGTATTACTAAGCACCCCAGAGGCTGTGAGCACTACTAAGGGTCACCTTAGATTAACATGTCACAGTACCGATACAGAACCACGCAAACATAAAAATCATGTTAACCTAACACTGTTTACCCTGTTATATATGGTGTATGTGATACAGGACATACTTTGTAACTGTATATCCCACTTGAGAATATAAGAGAAGGGATTCAGGTTAAATATCCCCTCTTGAGAATTAAACTACGAATCTTCAGCTTACAAGTGCTTGACCTTTACCACTATGCCACCTGCTGGCCCATTACAGAACTGTAGCATTTGAGGCAGCCATGTTACATCTGCGTGAACTCTGGGTCGAGTGGCGGTCCTCACCACGCCTTCCACGTGCTGAGGCTGACGGAGATGCAGTGACATTCTGAACGCAGCGCCACCTGGTGCCGGGCTGAGTGCTGAACTTCTGACTGGTTGCAGCCCTGCAGATGATGACATGATGCCACCGTATGACCATTTTGTTCCCCCCACTGCAGCCAATGGTGGCAGTCCAACTTGGAGAGGGCCGACTACCTCACCTGGAAGCCACACCTGAGACACAGGAGGACATCCCCAGCGGGCTCGCCCTCGATCACGGTCCTCTCTCTCAGGCAGTCTGTACACACTGACCACAAGTTCTGTGCGACCGCCTTCTTCACTGAACTCAGGTCCACCGCCTTGCTGACATGCTGACACGTCAGTCCTGGGGGAACAACGATCAGTGAGAGGTGAAACCAGCCAGCCGCCCCATGAACAGTGGCATAAATTAGATCATCATGTGGTTATGCCCACTCTGGTTACTCAGTTTCATGATGCAGAGGGTGGAAGCTGTTTCCCAGGTGAACCTTCTTCAGAAAAACACTGTCAGGATCCACTCTGCCAGCTCGGAAATTAAGACTCCCTAAATTCACTCTGCGCAAAGTACAGCTCCAAGCGTGATCTTCCCTGATTAACAGTAAATTTCCCCAGCCGTCCCAAATGCATACGGCTTACACCCTTACCGCTGATCTCGTCCGAGGACTCCTCATCGCGAGTTTTTTTCGGCCGGCTGGTCCGCTTCGTCATGTCAGCGGGTTTTAAGGAGAATGGGTCTTTGAGCCTCATGGGTGCCTGCGGAAGGGAAACTAAACCTCATTGCCCGGGAGAGGCTGAAACGCCGCACCCAAACGGCCGTCCCCGGTAAACTAATGAAGGCATGTTCCACAGCTACTACTGTAACCAAAATTAACTCGCTTCCTCATTTCATATAAAATGTGTCCATTACTCAACGGCTCGTAAAGATGTATTTATTTGGATACACGTTGTATTTGCATTGTCAATGGAGCCGACATTCCAGCGCGAGAAAAAAGAGTTACTAAAATGCAGTACAGATGTATAGGTATTTCTTTTAAAATGTACTTTTGTTTTTGCCCATTCTTAATCTGGATAAAAATAAAATAAATTTAAAAACCGGAAATATTTATAGACTAAATGACTATTCAGGAAATCGAACTCTTCTGCTGAAAACCTGGGAGGTTTAGAAACCCTCCCCGTGGCCAAGATTAGCCGGTAACCATTATTAACTTCCTTAAACTTGATATTTTCTGCCTTCAGCTTTACTTAGTGCGTTAAAATTCATGAAGGGCAAAAGGTGCTCCCTAAACGGTATACGACTCTCCACACATTCGACGCATCATGACGTCGGCGCCCAAGTATGAAACTATGAAACACACGCGCTCCTCCCAAAGTTATTTATTGCAGCATCAAAAAAAAAAACAAAGACAAACCGGTCAGCGTGGTACAGTTGGTAAGAGTCTGATATCAAAGTTTTAGCCTGCGCTCTTCCCCCTCAGCTGTCAAAATCCGAAGCGCGAGTTGCTTCGGGCATATTTCAGGCACATGTTACTAATAAACAGTGGGGCGACGCCCCCTTCAGAGAGATGAAGGTTAAGTGACGCTGGTTTTGGGCATTGTGCTAAAGAGGTGCCCGGCGGGCTGACCTGCTCCATGTAAGCCCGGCGACTCACCTTTCCTCTGCCGCACCCCTTCGCAATAGCTTCCTGGCTAAAAGGCCCTACGGTTTTACAAAAGGTAATCTTTCGAGCCACCCGGTCCGTTTCCAAGGACAAGTACGGGACGCGCTTTATGAAAAGTGGGTCCCGAGTGTCGCCGCGAACTTCTTGAACGTACTTGAGGACACTCAGATCTGCATCAAACGTCGGACGGTGACACTGATGCACCGGAAGTCGGCGGGTGACGCATCACGGAAGCTCAGGCAAGTCAAACAGAGCCTACGGCTCTCTGGTGTGTGAGCCTTCGCCTCGCGTTTTAATAACAGAAATATGAGTCACACGGGGCTACAGAAAACAAGAAGCAGTGTTTTATAAAATACAATCAAGCACACATCTTGTTGCCAATTTAAATAGTATTTCATATTTTATATATAGCATAAAGATTTTACTTGAACATTATTATTGCTATTATTTATTAGGTTTACCGTACATTTTGCTTTGCATAGTTAATTACGGGCACGATGGAGGAGGTTTAGGGGGGCACTGCATCCCATTCTCGAAATACTGCTGCTCCAGAGTTTTCTCTCATACCAGACACTGCCGTCACATGGAGGGTTCCCCGACAGTGTTAGCTTTCCGGTCCTGGTCTTACAACATCCAGCATGCATGGGACTCACTAGTGCCCTTACGAGGTGCCGGTACGCGCATGCGTCCCGTCCAGGGAGCGCCCCATAGCTCGGCGACAGCAAAGCGCCCGGAGGAAGTGTCTATCAGTTTTCTGCACAGACTTGGCTTCGCGTCCTAGGATTCTAAAACAACTCGGAATGTCTCTGAAAGAATGTCTCAAGCTTACGGGACTGATTCACCGTGTCCTGTTAAATGGCAGCCTTACTCCACCAACTTGTTCTAGGACACTGTCGTGCTTATCGAAAGCTCGAACTCACTATGCCTTTTGTAAGTGTTGACAGCTCAACCTTAAACTCTTTTTTAAGTAAATATTGTGCACTTCTCAGTAAAACCGTAAATACGTGTTTTTTACGTTGGAAAAGGCATGCAATCTCCTCGTCAAACGTGTTGTAATTAGTATAACCTCTGCGAAGGTAGGGCAAGTTGTAAAATGTCCATTTGGCAGTGTCTGTACACCCGTGGATCACCCTGGGTAATGTCGCCTGCTGGGTTGGAGCCGTGTGTGAACCCACGCTTGCCTGCGTCCCGCCAGGTCCGCGGACCCCCGCTGCCCTGCACGTGTTGCGCGGCTGTAGCTCCGCACCCCAGGCGGACTTTACGGTGTCCCACCAGCAACTAAAGCAGCTGTTGTCTACCCGGACTGGCGTGGTCATCGACGTCCGGGAGCCGTGGGAACTCAGGGAGTACGGATCCATTCCTGGGTCAATTAACGTCCCCCGTGAGTTAAGTTCTCGTCGTTTTTAATTCCACCGCTGTGTCTTTGCACCTCTGTGACTTGTCTGTTTGTGATTTTCCTGCCGGCGCCCTTGTTCCTCATTCCTTCCTGTACTTGGCTGATTTTTCTGCACCAGTATCGTGTTCCCAGCATGACCGCACACTGTGCCCTTGTTCATTCTTTGACCATGCATCCTGACAGCATTGTGTGATGGCTAACTGGAATAGTGTTTTGTTCCCATGACCTCTGACCCTATAACCACACTCCCTCTGATCGTTTATGCTGAACACAATGTCTCCTCCTTTGACTGCTGTGATCAGAATCTTTATGTGACCTTATACCCTGATTTCAATCATGCAGTGACCTCACAGTTTGTGTTACTACGCACCTTGACCACACTGGCTTTGACGGTAATTTTAGCTTGTTTGTGCACTGCAAGCGTGACCTTGGCCTCCAACTCTGCCTCTATCTGGTGCCATTCTCAGTGGGGCAGGTGAACCAGGCACTCCAGCTGACTCCTGATGATTTCAGGGAGAAGTACGGCTCTGACATGCCGCGCCCAAACAACCAGGTTGTGTTCTCCTGCCTGGCAGGTATCAGAAGTAAGAAGGCTCTGGATACAGCGGTGTCCTTAGGGTACTCCAAGTAAGTCAGAAACGCGCACGTTGTGCTTCAGAGATGCACCGAATCACACAGAAAACCTGGGGACCTCCCCTCTGACCAGGGTTATTATCGTTAGCGAAAACAAACATTACGACTATAAGAAAACAGCATTTTTGTAAACCAAAATACAAAAAACTACAGATAAACGAAAACTATAAATATTGCTTCCAGAACTAACTGAAATAAAAACAAACGTTAATTACCTTGTTACTGTTGTTTGCTACTATTTATCTAAAGTAATGATTTATCTTTCATTACCATTAATAATACCCGGAACATTTGAAAATAATGTGCACCGTGTGTATTCATGTAGGATTCTCTAAAGATTAGACACATTCAAATTCAGTTTTCTGTCCCAAGAATTGAAATTACGGAAGATACGACTGAAACAAAAATATCTATCCATTGTCTGCTGCTTATCCGGGGTCGGGTCGCGAGGGCAGCAGTCTGAGCAGGGATGCCCAGACCTCCGTCCCCCCAGCCACCTCCAGCTCCTCTGGGGGGATACCAAGGCGTTCCCAGGCCAGCCGAGAGAGATAATCTCTCTAGCGTGTAGTATATAAAAACTAAACAGAAATATATCTTTTAAAAAAACGAATAAAAATGAATAAACCCACACTGAAAACAAACTATGTCTAAGCTAGATTTGAAAAGAAATAAAATAAAACTAAAATAAAATAAAAACTAAACGAAAAGCTGAAAATTATGCTAATATTGCCTGTGACTCCAGGTGATGTTTTTTTGTCTGTTTGTTGCCAGTTCTCATCTTAGCTTTTACGATTTGTCATAGTGGGGTTATGTGGCAAACTATGTGACGCTGTCGCCACCCATCCCCCCCCCCCCACCCCCCGAATTGGTTCTGTGCAGCGTTCAGCATTATCCCGGCGGATGGGAGGAGTGGGCTGAACGTGAGGTGTTACGGACTAAACACTGAAGGCCTTCTCCAAGCCAACCCAGAATAGTCATCATCTGTTCCTGGAGAGTGAGCAAATGGATCCTTTAGAGGGATGGCTTAAAGCGGACGCAAACTGCCATTACATGATTGGTTGATAAGGGCTAATCGTCTCGTGTGATGGGTCAGATTGAAATTACCGTTGATTTAAATCCGTATGGGAGGGCACTGATTTCACCATATGGGGAAAAAAAAGTTCCAAAAAGTGAAAGGAGACACTTCTTAAAGTGATTCTTCTCACCTGCCTGCTGTACTTATTGATGCACTTGTGTAGTGAAAACAAATGCACGTTTAGTAGCTAATGAAGCATACCCTGATGTTCCCATTCTGTTATACTTTCAGCTGGTAATCTTCAATGTGTAATGAGTTAGCTTCTGTATACTAAAATTATGATGTACCAGTGTGTCTGCATCATGTTACATTGCCCCTCCCCCACCATGGTCTGTCTGACGATGACCTTTTCCCCTCAGCTTCTGAAAACCAAACACGCATCTGTGAACAGTGACAGGGGCGCCTGCACTCATAAATGCAGAGAAATGTCCCCCTGATTGTGACCCACCCCTAGGAGGGAAATCACCCCCCCAACAAAAAAATGTAACTGGAAAAAGTCTGGGCCACTGCGGCCCAGATGTGATCTGTTTTGTCTGCTTGTTGTATTATCTGAAATAATAAAAAATGACGTAAGTACTGCAAGCTTGTGTTATGCCGGCACACCTGAGATGCAAATAAACACCAGCACTTGGGTGCCCACAGAGCTGTGACTCACTGCGGGTATTTAAATGCCTTTCAAAGGGGTTCCGGCTGGCCGTTCACACTACACTCAGAACGCCAGGTCAAATTCTTGTGTACATTTGGTGAATAAACTGATTCTGATTCGGATCAAGCTTGAAAAATTAGAAACAAATCCGCTTAGTTGCTGCCTCTCACAGTGAGAGGTTTCATACTTATGCACCATGCAGGTCAGGGGGGTTTGCATACCTCAAACAGCCAGTTTACCCAGCATCCGGCCGGGAGGCACTGGGATGGCTGCAGGGGAGGAGCACCTGAAGAAACGCTGGCTGTTGTTGCCTTCTTTCTACTAAGGATGCAAAATAAACAAAATGTACATATAAAATAATAATGCTTATGATTCATATGTAGTATAGCCTTAGGCAGTTACATGGTTGAAGCTGTTTGTCTAGGCAGGAAGCGTATATTTGCTCCAGAAGAAATAACACACAACATTAGAACGTACATAAATTAACAGTAGCATAGTAAATATAACAAGACTTTTTTTCTGTTCTCCAAAAAGTCACTGACATCTTGCTGGACGGCTAGATGAACACCGCTTCAGTCCCCAAACCTCTGCTCAGGGGCACCCCGGCCATTCCATGTATTCGTTAAATTTCACCACCAGCTCACTTTATTAACTGAATTAATTAAAAGACTGAATGGGGTATTGACTGGCAAAGAGATGCATGGAAATATTGGACGGTTGCTGCAAATACTGGGGTGACAGCTGACACACTATGACAGACATTATGTCATAGATTTATACCAACATGAAGATCATTTAAACATCAGTTTCTTAACATTAAACTTAATGGTAACAGTAATTCTGGCAACTGGAAATTACAATTGCATTACATAATGGCATTTGGTCCAATTTTTGATCCGATTTTGGGGGGGTGTCACCCCGGCCCCCACATTAACTCTGACTTACATCGTGGGTCGGTGCCCATGTGACCGGGTGCAGTTCGGACTCATCCAAGGTGGTTCAAGAAAACAGAGCCATAGGCAGCCGCTTCCTCCATCAGCCATGTGACCCACGATCATGTGACCTAAGCAGTTTAATAAAGGAACTGGTTGTTTCTTTCTCATATCCACAAACTGGGATTTTTTGCTGCTTCCTTCAGATTAAAATGGCCACATACATTCCTCCTCTGTTGTCCACCAGACCGAATCACAAGGTTGGAGGGGTGAACCTTAACCACCGGGGAGTTTCTAGCTATTGAAAAGGAAAAGATCAAGGGCTAAGTGGAGTTAACCTGGGGCTTGACAATTTTGTTTTTTAAGGAAGATTGGCATTGCGGCTGAAATACTCGGCCAGGCTTAAAATACTCGGGGCTGTACCCCCGAGTGATCGGACCCAATGACGCCCATGCTTAATCGTTTGTTCCAACTGTGGAGAGGAGTCTTCAACAAACATCTCCCTTGACAACAAGGCAGGTACAACAACTGGAAAATGACTGCATATCGTATAATAGCACATTATTCATGAACTATTAATGTTTATCAGTTCTCTCACATACCACCCACACCCAGGTCCATATTAAATTCCTCTGATGCCAAATGACACAGATAAGTGCCACTTGGCATGACCAGACGAGCTATTTACAGGCCTCATAAAGAGGCTCCTTCAACTGTCCACTGGCCAAACCTGATTTTTTAGTTATGTAAACAGTAGTGTCTTCATTTAGTTCCCCTTTCAGAGCATTAACTCTAAGCAGAAATCGTGTCTGTCTGGAGGTTCCTGTGTTTCTGGGCATCATGGAGATGTCCTGTGCTCTCTGGTCTTCCTGCTCTCCACTTTTCTACCGTTCCCCTCTTCTCCTCTGCTCCCGGGTCTCCTAACCCCATGATGTCCCTCTGCTCCTCCTCCTTTGGGAATGGCGTGCGGATCAGCAGCTTAGGACACCGTGCCTCTGCTCAGATGGTCACTGCTTCGAATCCCAGGGTCATTAAGCTAATGTCACCGTTGGGTCCCTGAGCAAAGCCCTTAACCCCAACTGCTTCAGGGACGCTAAACCCGTAGCTCCTAAAACCATGTCTGTGTGCATAGGAGAGTTTAATATCGGTGGGCCACAATTTAATATAATTTAAATAACATAATTTAAATAAAAAGTGCTATTTATTTAGGGATCAATGAATCCAAATTAAATATTGGGGGGTACATTCAATAAAGTATCACAATTCTTTTTCTCGGAACCCCCCTCCCCTTCCTCCCCCCTCCCTGCTCTTCACGGGCCCCCGTCAGATGACTGAGGGCAGGTCAGGCTCTGGTTTGTGTGGAGGTTCGACATTCTGCAGGTGCAGACTCATGAGGCGGGCCGGCTGGAGCAGGGTTATAAGAGCGGGTCGTGCCGTAGGGGAGGGCAGCACAGACCCTCAGACGCGAAGAACTCTCCACCCAGAGGAAGCCCGAAGCAGCCCCCCGGAGTCACGATGAGCCACAGCCCAGAGCGGATCTCTTCCTACCGCCGGCACTTTGAGGATACCGGCGCCTCCTATGAGGTGCGCGTATCCAGCCCGTCCCCCACCCGCCGGGACACTCGCCGGGACACTCGCCAGCGCTCCCCCAGCTTCACCCGCGCTGCTTCAGCCAGCCTGAGAGCCCAGGCTGTGGGCAAGAGAACCTTCTCTAGCTCCATCAGGCTCCGCCCAGTCAGGTAGGCTCCGCCCAGTCATGTAGGCTCCGCCCTCACAGCCAGTTCGCAGCACCCTGGATAAAGAAAGCACCTGTTTTCTTGGCTCCTTAATGAGGGGTGCAAGGTTGGCCTATCTAGGACCCCGAAGGTCGTCCGTGAACGTCGCAGGAGTCTTAATTCTCCTGACTGGCGCAGCTTTAATGATTGTTAGGTCGGTAAAAAATAAATAGGCTAGATAATAATAATGGTGAATAAATAATACATGTTTTAAAATCCATTTATCAATATGCGAGTAACTATTTGAATTTAAACTATTAAACGGACTATCCAAATTTAACAAATGAAATGAATAAACGAACATCTACCATTCGGTACATCCAGATCCTGTAGCACCAGGAAAGAAAAGAAGATTAGTAAAGTTTAAATACAATGAAACACTACGGGGCCAACAAATCTAAAATCCACGGCATCTGAATGTCTTTAGGAAAAATATTACCACTCATATTAAAAAAATAACTCTTTAAAAAGATAAACCAGTAAGCCTACATAACAAAGGTATACATTACACAAATAAAAGTAACAGAATCGCATTTAACAGGCGCAAATTAACGTAGTAATCTAACGCTCATCATGAGTATGGTGGCGCGGATATACAACAAACCAATTTCAGTAGCATAAATGAAACAACAGTAGTTAAATATTAGTAAAAAGTATATACTCATCGACAGCTTTAGTTCCAATTTGGAATCTGAGTTACTCTGTTTTTTATATTATCAATTTCAATTTCATTAAGTGGAAACCACATTATTTGTATTATACATTAAAAGATGTTAGGGTTTCATTTGTAACAAATCACAGTTGTTCTGGTTTATTCCTGAAGTCACATTGGCTTTGTAATGTGATGATTTAAATTATTTAGACATTTTCCCTATCTTGTTCATGTAGCCTAACACACACAGAATCTCAGAAAAAAAATAAAATCGACAACCAATGGGTGGGTGAATCGGTAAAATAACACATCCAATAAGAAGAACAATATCAAAAGTTTGAGGGAAAGGATTGATCTCACTAAACTGAAAGCTCTGCTTTAGGTGACCAATTGCAATAAAATTCTATGTAGATAAACGGACACAATCGAGACCAAACGACAACTCCGTTATTTGATATTTGTGGGACCGTCCGCTTCTCCAACACGAGCATTTAATGCAAATTTAGGTTTCACTTGGTGATAATATTTCTTTGGAATAAATTGTAATTGTGACTACGATTATCACATAGACTAAGATACGTAACTTTAAATAGGCTCAATTTGAAATGCAACGACGTAAAGTCAGAACGGCAGGTCATTTATTTCTTAAAGAGACGGTGGCGTAAATACAATATTCACTATAACTACATTTTTTGAATCCCAGGTTTTATTTTACCTGTCACAACACGTAAAGCGTAACACGCAGTGCCGTTGCAGCTCAGGCATGGGCGCGATCTGCATGGGGGTCGGAACCGCGCCGGCCCTAGACCTGGAGGTGGCTGCAGCCGAGAACCAGCAGTTCCTCAGCACGCGCAGCAGTGAGCGCCAGGAGATGGTCGTGCTCAATGACAGACTGGCTCTCTACATAGAGAAGGCAAGGCTGCACTAAACATCGGTCTGGTGGACTGGACAGCCCAAAAACAAATATTAAAACACCGTGTTTGGGTCCCGGGTACACTTGGTTTACATTTATGCTTTAAATGTGCTGGAAATTGTCTGAAAGCCGGTTTAATTACCTATTACCATCTTAAGGCTTTAATAGATATTGTTAATTAAGGCCTTTCCACAAAACCTGTTTGATCCTGATTCCCAGAGGCACAAAATGCCATTACTCAGGTACACCATCTGAAGATGACTCATGCTTACAGTGAGTTAAGAGGACATTTCACAAAGTCCTCATTATCCTGGGTTTCCGTTTCTTTAAAAAAAAAAAAAAAAAGGTTCGGTCCCTGGAGCAGCAGAACCGTCTGCTGGAGACGGAGATTGAAAGTCTACAGAACCGGGTCGTGAAGCCAACCGGACTGCGCAAGCTGTATGAGGAGCAGCTGAAGGAGATGCAGAGAACGGCAGATCAGATGAAAATGCATCGGGTAAGACATTTGGACAGCTGGGGACAGCACTATCGATTTCAGCTCTTTCTTCACTGATACTGAAATTCAGAACAGGACAACATTTCTACTCATTACGATGAATGTCAATCGGTGGTAAAATCAGGCCTATACTTGTTGCGTGCGAGTGACTGAAGATTTATTTTGTCAGTAAGTCTAATTTATAAATACACTTATTTATAAGACAACCCATATAGAAGTATCTAGACCAAGGTTTCTCAACCCAGTCCTCGGGGACCACCAGGCGGTCCACGTTTTTGCTCTCTCCCAATTGGCAGGGAATTGGGAGAGAGCAAAAACGTGGACCGTCTGGTGGTCCCCGAGGACCGGGTTGAGAAACCCTGATCTAGACCATCCATCCGTCCATCTCCACTCTCTCAGAAAAAAAGGGTAAAAATTTGTATCTTTGCTTGTCACTGGGGCTGTACCATCAAGGAGCTGCCAATTGTACCCTTAGCTGAACGTAATTGTAGCTTTTAAGGTACAGAAATGGACTCTGAGGAACATTAATTGATGGTACATTAATGTCCATTTCTGTACCTTAAAAGGTACAATTACAAGGGTACAGCCCCAGTGACAAGCAAAGGTACAATATTTTTTTCTGAGAGTGCAGACTGCTTCTCTCGTGGTGAAAATTTGCCACGTAAACCTCAATAGGCGATTTAATGGTTTTCCGGTGGCTGCCTATAGGGACAGTGACACCAACTCCAGCTCTTAACTTGTTCTTTTGTGTCTTCAGGACATGGCTATTGTCCAGAAAGAGGCTGTGGCCGGGGAGCTTCAGGCGCTAAAACTGAAATACGAGGAAGTGGTGGAGCTGAGAAAAAAGGCTGAGCTGGAAATCGAAGCTTTCCGCCCGGTAAAGAGTAAACGCGACCGGATAGCGCTAAACTCCTGCGATACAAACGCTTCTATAACTTAACATCGCCTTGTGACCGCCAGGATGTCGACACGGCCACCTCCTCCCGCATTGCCCTGGAGAAACAACTGGAAAACCTGGAGGTCGAACTTGAATTTCTGCAGAGGGTTCACAAGGAGGTGAATGGGCGTCGAGTTTTATGGTTTTATTAAGGAGTGTTATTACTGGAGAGGTACACGATGCACGTTTGTTTACGTTCAGGAAATCGAGGAGCTGATGAAACAGATATATGGCATTAGCGCCATAGTTGAGGTCGGATTCACCCTTCCGGATCTCACCGCAGCACTCAAGCAAATTCAACAGCAGTATGATGATATGGCAGCCAAGAGCTTGCAGGTGAATAAAATCACATTACAGCCAGAAATCGCTTGATTGCCCGCAGACCAGATCTCAAAATTCACTATAATGGATTGTAAATATCTTTGTATCATAATGTGGCTGATGTTTGAAAATTTCCTAATATGGCACCTAAATGTCCCTCCGGCAAATGCCTCATGCTCGATTCCCATTCCTAAGCTGTGTATATAATTTTTCCTTTTTTAGGAAATGGACACCTGGTACAAAACAAAATTTGATGACCTAAGCCAAGCATCCACGAGGCATGTGGACACCGTGCGGAACACCAGGCAGGAAATAGCGGGAGCAAAGAAAGATGTATGTTAATTTAACGTGAATCTTTATTATTTTATAACTATTATGATTTTTACCACTGAAGCCTTCCAAAGAGTGCCCACTAAATGACAGGAACTTAAGCAAATGCTGAAAAATTCTGAGTATAAGACTGCAGCAGGCTAATGAACCATAGCTGTGCTAAGGAGCACTATTTAATGAGTCTAAACACGTTTTAACCCCCAGTTGGACTGTTTCTGCAGATTCAGAGCAAAGACCGCGACTTGGAGACCCTGAAGTCCAAGCGAGATGCCCTGGAGGCGCAGATCCGGGAGGCGCAGGAGAGACACCGGAAGGAGCTGGAGGAGCTGCAGGTGATGGGATGCTATCACAGCGGTCCGCAAAGTCGTGCTGGTTTAGCAGGATTCCTTAAGCAGCGATGCATTTTTGTTCATGAGCGGTTTATCTGCTTGCTACAAAGATAAGGTTTTTTCACACCAAATCAAACTGCTGCTCCTGGTCATTTAACAGGCAAGAATTGAGAGTCTGCAAATGGAGCTGAAATCAACTAAGGAGAAGATAGCATTACACCTCCGTGAATACCAGGATCTGCTCAACATGAAAATGGCTCTCGAGATTGAAATCACCACCTACAGGTGCATTTCCGGAGATAGATATCGCATATTACGCTCCTCGGGTTTTCCTCTTTCCTTGAGTGTGTTATATAGCTTTTTGTGTGTGTGAACAGTCTGCAAAGGCCCCAAGCACATGGCAAAGGGAGCGACTGTGCTGAACCTGCGGCGTTTCTTTGCAGGAAGCTGATCGAAGGGGAGGACTCCCGGCTGAGCGGAATGGTGCAGGGCATGTCCCTGGTCATGGGAAGAGGGCTGGGCTATCAGGAAGCCAGCGCTTCTTACTCCAAAGAGCAGGCGGTGGAGATGACGGAGAGAAAGACCATGCTCATCAGGTAAAGTCAGCCTTGTAAATGCAGGGGGGGACCATGATGGGATGGAGGCAGACTCTGTTATTACGATGTAACGGAATGTCACTTCACTGCCAAGGTCTGACTCAAAGGTTTTATGTGAAAATTCACTGAAACTGAAAGCTGATTGGCTGCCAGACTGCCCCCTCCCCTGTGTATCATTGGTTAATGATAAGCTTGGCCCCTCTGTATGAACCTTATAAAATCCCGAATTGCCCCAGCAAAGTAGGCATTTTACAACTGGCTCTATCTCCACTCAGAACAGTTAAGACAGAAGACGACTCGATGCAGAGCGACATGCAGGAGCGGACCATCACCATTTCCGGGGCGGCTGACGACAGCGAGGAGGAGTAGGGTTGCCATGTTCACGGCCGCGCCTGAGCTCACCGCTGACACCCCAACCCTCAGCACAGACCCAGCAGGACACATGTGCCAAGCAGCTACTGTCCAACTCATAGACCCTGTACCGCTTTTCTCAGATTAACAGGCACATGTCTTACGCTTAACTTCCTGAAACAAATAAAGTTTTGAGCAGATTGCATGTATGCCGGTCTTCATCTCCTCTTTTCCCAGGAATGTGCTGGTTTACACCCCTTAGATCTCCTTTGATGTATAAGCCATGTAAAATCATCACTGCTCCCCCGCTTCAGTATCTACACAGGAATGACACGCTTCATCATAAGTATATCATTCTAAACAATACACACATACAGCGCTGTGCAAAAGTTGTAGCCAGTCAAAGAAAATGCTCAGAGCAATATATCTGCATAGTAAATGTATATTTCTTCTGGACAAAAAACACATTTACATTAGAACATATATGCAAGTTAACAGTAAAACAATAAAATAGCGAGAATTAGTTCTGTTCCCCAATTATGTTTTGAAAAGCTGACACACTCAGCTAACCTGACACACTTTAACAGATAGAAAATCATAATTTTACACTAGCAGAAATATTATTTAAGGATCACTTTCTTTGACTGCCTAAGATTTTGCACAGTACATTACATGACTATTACAGCCATCCTCTTACATTCTGTCGCATGACTGTATTAATTTCCTTTCATTTTTGGACCATATACTGTCATCCTCATATACATAAATGGAAATGACTCTGACTCCCTACTGACTCCCTACTGACTCCCTACTGACTCCCTAGTGCCAAAGCTCACATGGGACTGACTGTAGTGATTCTCCACTGCACACAATGATTCTTCTGCTCATCACTTCTAACATGGAGACAGTTCAGTGTGCAAACGGTCCTTGCAGCAGTACTCAGTCACATCATGGAGGACGCCGAGGCCCCAGTCTCTGTGCTGCACGTGCTGTTGGTCCGTTCGGGCCTGAGGTACTGGAGGGTGAGGTGCGAGAAACACCTGAGGCCCCCAGCTGGAGGCGCTTCAGTGTCTCAGGCGCCCAGAATCTACGTGAAACTGTTGTTCTGTGTCCCCGTTGCATCCCAATCTCACCTCTCCGTCTGCTGCTCCTGGGGGCCGAGCGGATTTCCCGCCAAATGCCAGCCGGCGTCGGTGCTCCGGTGGGGCGGCCCGGCATAGAGGGAGGTCCCCATAGGCTGGANCCCCCCCCCCACCCCCATCCTGCATCACCTGCACTAATCTGCACTGGATCATCCGCTCAAGCAAAAAGCGCTCCGTCAGCAGCAGCTCCGTCCCGCCGGATGGTAACCGCGGCAACAGGCCGTGGAGGCGTCCCCATGAAGCAGCCATGCCGGGTGAGTGGGGTCCTGGGAGGATGGGGCTGAGGAGGCCTGGGGAGCAGGCCGCAGGTGTGCCAAGCACGACACACCTCCCTGTGCCGCCACAGGCACCTGACCCTCAGCCTGCACACATACCCAGGCACGAAGCTCCCCTTTACTACACAAAATACACAGGTTGAGGTTGTTGTTTGTTTGTTTGTTTGAATGCATCTGGCAGTTCAAGTGAAAATCCCATCAATGACTGAACTTTTTTCTTGCTAAGTAGCCATACTGCCAGTTCGATGTGATGAGCAGTAGGCTAACCTGCAGTGACAGTGAGCAGGGAAGTGGTCGGTACTGGGGGGGGGCCCTGCGGTTAACAGCTGCCTCGAAGGTTCCAGCAGGTTATGGAGGGGGAGGGCTGGACCCCATCTTCAGTGACCCTGCACGCAATAGGAGGCTGGAAGGAGAAACAGGACTAAGGCTGGAATGGCCTTCTGGAGTACTGGACAGGGACCAGTGGGTGTTTGGGCAAGGAAACACAACCCCCCCCCCCCCACTGCCTCATCAGCAAAATCTGTGGGGGATCCCAAAGTCCAGGGCCAATTTTTGATCCCAGTCCAGCCCTGCACTGTCATGAGATAAAGTACCAATTTGTACCTTTGAGGGCACAGTTACCTGTCACTAGGGCTGTACCCTCAAGAGTCTGTCTGTCAATGGTACCCTTTGGCTGTAGGTAAATGTACCTTTTAGTCTAGTTTAAGGTACGAAAATGAACCACTGGAGGCACATTAATGTTGTTGAAAACAAAACTGTACCAGGATGGTTCCCTTTTCTCTGTCAGCGTGTACAGGACAGAGAGCAGACATCAATCAGTGGCAGTAATTACAAATAAGTTACAATATTACCCATTTTCTTTATAATTTGCACTTTAAATGTTATTAGAAAGAGTAAAATTGTTGAAATGATTTTTTAAAAATATTTTTCTGTTTTGTTATGTTTTCCATTTGCCATTTTCTGCTATTTGTTCCCAATATCCTTCTTATACATTCCAACAGAAAATTCAGTCAGACAGCTCTCTAATGCTTAATGAAAGACCATGAGTACATGTAAGGCATAGGCGCCCGGTTAGTTAGACCGCGTTAGGCGTCTCCTGATGACAGGCCGACAGTTTACATGTAAATGCGGTCTCGTGCGTTTGTGCCGCGTGCGGAAACAGAAAGAAAGACATTAATGATCTAGGCCGTGTTTGTTTGGGCAACGTGTGTGTGTCGCCTGGAGAGAATCCTTTACGTATTACAGTCCCAAGCGAGACATGTAAACTGGGTGGCCATACAGGTATTACAAGAAGCCTGCGTCACATACAAGCACCACTTAATATTTTCCTTTAGATATGAGTAGGCTAATTCGTTTGATAATATATCTTAAATATAGCGAATTAATTAGGAATGCCTAGATGATTTTTATTACTGAATACCACTGGACTACTGTACCGAAGCAAACTGCGAATGTAAGAATTAGTTAACTTAAACGGAATGATTTCACCAAATCCCGTTGAGTTACCGGTAGAGATGCGCGCTCATGTCTTAGGGAAATGCTGGACTATATTTGCAATGTTGCATAAAGGGTGAATACTGCTAAAATGAGACACTTTCTGAAAATTTGCTTGCTGGACAAATTTACCGAATCATCTCAGTGTCCCAACTTGATACCATACTAAATACATCAATCCCCCGTGAGCATTACATAGAAGAGAAAATAAAGTATTACTAAATACATACATTAACTGCAAAGTTTAAGCGTCCCATTCTCTCAGGGGTCCCATTTTAACAATACTGACTCCCCATTTTTTTTTCTAAATACGGGACTATTAACAATTTTTATTGATGGGATTATTGCATCGTATTTCGGATTTAATTTTGTCATATAAGCTATTGAAGAGAATAAAACATTTTCTTTATTAGAACGCAAATAAACAAACAAACAGACAAATAGGAATCGAAGAAATCTGTACAGTATCATCACAAAATCGCCCAAATGAATCAAGAAACGGAAAGAAGGTTAGTTCACTGAGAGCAGATAAGAGGAGGTTCTAGTTGATAGTCTCCGAATTTATTGGTCGTCATTTCTAAAAGCTCATTCCACCCGACACTTACTAAAACTGGATCATTAATCTTAGAGCTGACAGTCCGTTTCTCGAATGAGAAGGCGCCGGTGATGAGCACTGATTAATATCTTTGCTTTGCAGTTATTTCAATTTGCTGCTGACCTTCAAGAACGTCGTGTCTTTCCATGTCCTAGAATAGAATTAAGATTTAATGTTATTATATGCTGCACGGACCGTAAGTTATCAATTTAATTAGAGGAGCCGCGACCCAAGCGGCCTTTTCCCGCAGATACCGGGAGCTATCCAGGGTCCTGTCCGCATCAATGTCCGCAACCCAGCCTGACGTTCACCTTCTTCGTTATACACATGTGACCAAGTACCAGTAAAACCACAAATAGAAAGATGGATTTTCTGCTACTCTATAATCTACTAAATAAAACATTACTAACCGAACATGACAAAAGGGACATGGAACTCAGATGGAGATGTTTGTGTGTCTGATAAATCACATATTGAGATTCATCCCTGTAGAACAAAAATATTAAATTCACATAATTACGATGAACCAAATTAAACAGAAAACAAAGACCAAAAAACCTGCAAGGATCGAACGAAATCGAATAAACCAGATGACATTAAATAAAACTGGTAGTTTTAAAGGTAATGGAAATATATTTTGTCGTAAACATGTTCACAATATATATGCTTATATAATAAAAAAATAAGAACTAAATATCGAAACAATGCAGCACCTATATACAGGAAATTCAGTTTAGAAAGAGAACATTTATTTTGCTGTAAATGCACCGAGTTTATTTGGTAGGAATAGAAATGCTTTAAAATATTTGACTTGGTAATAGCTTCAAACTGTATGCCGTTTCAGAAATATGATTTTCTAAAATAATGATATTGTTACGTTAGACAGCAGTCAATGTTCTAAAAGCAATTAACCAAATTTATATGAGTTTGCATTAACCGAGGCCGACTTTTAAAACAATTCTATATGCAAACCGACAAGTAATCAAACGAACAAATTAATAGACAAATAGTACTATACTCCTGTTGCTATAGTACTATACCAATAATGATGATGATGATAACAATAACAACAACAATAATATAGAAGCTTAAAACCAAATCAGTATAATTGCGTAGCTGTGAAACATTTTGATTAGTTGGTTTGTTATTAGTTACATATCAATATAAAAACAGAATATGCCCCTCAAAATACAAAATATGCATAAAATAATACGCACGTGCAACAGCGCACATGCAAGAACCGCGTTTCCATCTCACCTACTTCATGACTTTTCATGACATACGTAATGTGTCTTAATTGTTTTGAGTTCACACACGACAGGAACAAATCGCAGTAGCTCAGCAAATTCCAACAAATATAGTAGTACTGCATTTACATAGTTTATTAAATGCAATGTGTGTATATTCAAAATATATATAAAAACACATAAATGTTCTAAATATAATATTCTGTACACATTAACAAATGCTAAATAAACTGCAATAATGTGTTGCCATAATTATTCGTGATATGGTTATAGTAATATTTCTATTATTTTTATACTGAGGTAGTAAGTAATAAATATTATATACATATAAATACACATATTCGTACTGAGTCGATGCTGTGGAGTAATTTCCCATAATGGACTGGGTTAAAGTTAGAGCATCCCGACGTTGTGTACTGTGAAACCTGAGAACTTCCGCCATTCTATGCATATGGTTTAAGTGCTTTAATACCAATTAGGGCCGGCTGACACAGAGCGCCATTCATGTGAAGCCCTCCCGGAATGCATTTGCCTAGAAATGAACTTCACAAATGGAGTCCACGCTAAATGCGCTCGACAGCAGAGAGAATCGAATAGACCCAGGGCTCATTCTGAAGCGCTCGAGTGAAAAAAGGTATGAATTTATAAGGTACACCGAAACATTTCAATTCAGACGAGCTTACTGCCCTTTATCCCAGCTTTTTCAACCGAAACAAGTGAGTTAAAGTTAGGGAAATTCAGTTCAAAAGGCAAAGCTAACTTTGTTCAGACTTTGAATACTGAAACGGAGCGCCCATTTTCCGAGGGGCGCATTTAAAAATGAGAGCACGCATGAACAGCACCGAATCAGTTGCCACTTATACTGCCACATTCTAATGCGATTTTGAATATTAGTCTGGGTTAAAATCCCAATCATGTCATCTGGTGGGACTCCCATACAAGCACAATTACTATTGAAAGGAGCCAGTAATGTCCCACCCGCGCGCGCTTTCCGCGCTGCAGCTGGTCTACGCTTTATGGGCACAGCGCTTTCCCGCATTTAGAAACATGCGCCTTACCAGTTTACGCGTTTTATTTCGCAGTTTGAGATTCTTATATCTACCGATGCGGGACTTGTACGATCCAAGAAAGGGCAGCATTGCGAATGTTTTTAACACATTGATCAGTATACCCAGTAATATATGTAGTCTTTGGTCTTTCGTCTTAAAATACATAACCAGATGCTGTCTTTTTAAATTAGTATATTCGGTAAATTCTGTGTATTGATTTTTACACGCATAAAAATTGTAGGTGGTGTAACTGAAAGTTTAAAACGTCGGTCTTAATAAGTTTTAATAAGCTTTGGTTAGTAGCCTATATATATAATAGAGTTTGTTTTCCCTGGACCTCGGTGGCTTTTTACACACATTGTGGCAGACACAGAAGGTGTTGAATCTTTGACGCTCCTGGGCTTTTTGGCGCTCTGAATAGGATCCCCGGTGAGACTTTGGAACGTGCAACTGTGCTGCTTTACAGACCGGTTGTTCCTCTGCGTTTAAGACTCACTATGTGGCAACCTGTTAAATCAAAACCCGCATTAAGCCCAGATTGTAAAGCCAAGCCCTGACCGCTCGATGCTTCGGCTCCAAGAGGTGAAATGACTCCTCTGAAAGTTTCAGCTCCATGTTAGATACTTCAATGAAGCTTTTCTCAAGAGCGGGGAAGTCCATTAAAAGAGTGGTGGAATGTTTTGATTGAGACCACAATATTGTTCTTAAATAAAGCGGCGACCATGTAATTAATGTGTCTTTTTAAAGGGGGACAAAGCCGTCCTTCAAGCTATTTAATTTCATTTAATTTTCCATCCCATTGGTTCCGAACACTGCGTTCACTTTTAACACCCAGCCTTTGACTCTGCCCTGTGCGCCATTGCGCGCATTAGTTGGGTTGCACCCCTGCTTTTCGGACTGAGGCAACTATAAAGGGGAATGTCTTCCTTCTCTCTTTTGTTAAGAATTTATTTCACTTGGAGAACTTCAACTTTGAGCCACAGGATAAGAATAAGAATCGGCTGGCTGGTGTGAGCGCTTGGGAGGCTGGACTTGCTATTCTCGGGCGGATGGGAACCAGTCACAAATGGCAACATTAATAAATAACCCTCCGCACAGCCGGCCTTTACAAGCACCTATTGATAAAATTGTTCGCGTGTCGTTCACGCTCATTGACTCATTAAGCGGGGAAATGCAGCGCTCCTAGAATGGAGCAGTGGGGTACCTTTGCACAGGGCACGGTTCGCCTTACCGCCTCCAATAACAGCTCAGCGTTCTTCTCGGAGTCTCTAGGGCAGGGGTTACCAGGACATGTTCATGGTTTGAATTTATCGCCCACAATTTTGTGTTTTTCTCCGTCCTCTGTTGTGGCTTTCAGATGGATGACCAAAGGGGTCATACATAGTTTTATAACCCGCGTCACAAATCCACGGGTAAATCCATTCCCCAAGTTTGAAACATCCAGCTTTCACGTTCACACTTTCTCCCAGTATAAAGTGAGATAAAATGTAACGGATGAATTAAGGCAGTTGGTAATTAAGTAAACGGACAGACGTTGCATGGAACAGTAAACTAGCCTGATAATAGCAGGATGAATATACTTACAATACATGCCGGCATTATATATTCTTATAATTACAGTACTGTAATATTAGCACACAATACTACAGCATATAATTTTGAGCAGTAAAAATGTAAGTTTAAGTACTTCATCACGACAGGCAAACAAAACTGATATAATTAAAAATAATCCGACACTATACAAAATACCGGTGCCGGCATATGCAAAATCGAGTTAATATTTATAATATTTATAGCGTTAAAAGTTAGTATTGGCGAAACATATTGCTTGTAAATATCTATGAATATCACTTGACCTAAAACTGTATCGAATGTGTTTTTTGTCAAAATGAAAATCGCATTTACTGAAATTCTTAAAGTTTTAAAGAGCATCGGTCACACAGGTTCTAAGATCGGCGCTGTGCTAAGAACGCGCTGAATGACACCATCTTGAAGCCGTGAGCTCGTGACAAGAAAACCAGAAGTGTGAAATGAAATGATGGTGGTTATTTTGAACGCTGTTGCTATTTTTCTGGTGGTTCTCCCGTTGAGTACCTGCCCGATTTCAGCCAGGCACACGCCGGGAGTCAATAGAAGTTAACAAGTCTTCCAAACATTCCCGGCTCTTTGTGAGTCAAAGTCATACAATACAACCAAGGAAAGGGAATAAAGAGCTTTGAAGTATATTAGGGCTAAAAGGATGCAGCCAAGTAGACTTAAAGTAGTCACTGATTTCCAAAAACTGGTTTGTATAGGGACAATAAAAAGAGGGAGAATTTATGGAGAAATTATACAGTGGATTTGTCACTTAAAATATCGGAACTGTCTCTGGAACAAAGGTTCATGCTGAGGATTAATGTGCGCCCCAGACCTTTGATTCTCTCCTCTCTTTTCTCTGCCCTTGACAAATTGGATTTTGGGGATGGGAAGGTCGACCGGCCCATTGTCTCCTGTCCGTTTGGAGCAGTTCATTATGCGCCAGGGTGAGGGAAAGTCTCCATGTGACCCGCTCCGAGGGTTCTTCACAGCTGCTAAAAGAGCCAACTCTCTCACCGTACGGCTCGCCCTCGTGAATTAATGAACTGAGGAATACCTTGCTGTTCTGTTTGAAAAGCAGGATCACATACGCCACCGCGTCACTTCGCGGGCGGAGATTTGCCCGTCCTCATATTCTTGGCTGAGCTCGGCTCAATCAGTTCCTGCTTGATCTTCCCGGTTCTGATCCCAGTGCACGCTGAGCCAGCCATGCAAGCGACCCGGGTTTCCAGCGTGTTTGCAGACTGCAGCATCCCGGCGGGCCTGCGGATAGGGCCGGTGCCGGGCGCCTTCAAGCTCGGGAAGCACATGTCGGACCGTAAGGACCAAGGCCACAAGAAGAAGGTACGAAAACTTTATGTCCACTGCAAAAACTCCTTTTTATTTGGTTACTTCTAAACAGCCTGGGTCGCGCTGTAAAATGTAATTTTTAAATGTCATCAAAGTTCTCCGAAATGAAATATTTTAGAAAAACTTTGGGTCAGAAAGTTTATTCATTAAATAAAACATTTTTTCAATTATTTCTATTATTCATTTGACCGGTTCCATTTCAACTTCAGTAATAATTAAAACATACAAAACCTTGTTAAAATCAGGTGTATTCTTCTTCTTCTTCTTCTTCTTCATTATTATTATTATTATTATTATTATTATTATTATTATTATTATTATCTGAAGTACACCATTTTTCCGATGGATAGAACTCTTTGGGTGGAGTCATTGAGCATTTATGTACAGCAAAAAATAAGTTTTTGCAAAATATTAAAATAAATTGTATCGATCAACAATTAAGCGGGAAAATCTTACGAATTGTTTTTAACCGTAAAACAGACCTGTCACGAGTCATTTTGCGTTCAGTTATTAATTGGTGCGTGCTGTCAGGTTAGAAATAATTGAGCTATATTAGTGAGACAACTTGTCAGTCTGCGCCTTCAGTTAACCGCCCTAATAGGAAAGATTGAGTCGATAGCAACATTTCATGCTCCTTCTCTTTAAAATCCACAACCTACTTCGCTTATTATTCCGATGAACTATTTCATTTGAAAACAAAAAACAACTTGTGAAAATCCAGGATATGCAACCGCCGGCATGATTATAAAGCAGAATATCCAGAAACACTACACAACTAAGTAAAGCAGAGACCTCGTAGTTTCGCATTAAGACATTAAAATAGTACAATATAACTTGTGCTTATTTTTTTCGATTATATGATGTATTTAGTTGTTGTTCCTAGAGGAATCTGGGAGCTGTGCACCTCCTCTATACCCGCTTCACGTCCCTGATTAATAGCGCTGAATGTCACCCGCGGGGCTTGAAGCGATCATCAGGTGCATTTGCCGTGTCAAATGTCACGCTTTAATTTTTAATTTGCTTGAACGGTTTAGAGACGCTTTGACACTCATCAAATTCGTTTCTCGTATTAACTCAATTATATGTCGTTTCACCGAATAAAAATAAATAACTACGCCATTTAGGGGAACAAATAAAAGGAACTGCGGAATTATTTCAGAAAGAGTTGATTTACTTTATTACTCAAATAAAATGAAGAGGGATATAAAACTTAATTTTAACGTTGAATTTCAGTAGGCTAATTTAAAATCGAAATTTATCATTGAAAAGAGAACAATATGTAAAAATACAAATCATTTTGAAAAGTGCAACTAAGAGTGAATACTTACCAGTATTAGCAATATCCATCAACGATACACATTTTCGATAATCGGAGAAACTTTTCTGTATTGCGCTCAGTAATTTCATGAATTGTCAAATGAATGTTTGTAAATCCACACATTATTTCAAACCCTTTAAACGAATAAATACGTTTTTCTTGCACTCTTCATTTATTTTTATATTTATATCTATTTTATAGATACGTTTACTGAGAGGGGATTTCGTGGACGAATCAGGGTGCGCGGGTGCAGACTGGATTGGGTTAATTCGGGCCGCAAGAAATGCCCAGGAGCAGAACCTCGAGGCTGTCACGGATTCACCGGGGGGACAGGTACATTTTTACTCCGAAACCTCAGTTGACCTCTTTGGCAAGGAATGACACTTTTCCACGAAGCTGACAGCGAAATTACCGTCTTTTTACAGATATTTTACCGGGTGCTGAGAGATGTTCACCCCGGCGAGGAGCTCAGCGTGTGGTACTCCAACAGCCTGGCCCAGTGGTTCGATGTGCCAACAACTGCTACACCTACCCATGACGAAAAAGGTAGGCGAAATGATACAGATAATTTAAAGAGGTCTAATCTTCCAAAAATGAGCACTGATTTTGCATGCTAGAAAATGCGATTGCGTGTTAAACCTATATAGTCAGGCAAGTGCTTGATTTTGCACCAACACCTGGTTTTTGAGTCCTCCTGATCCCAGAGAAAGTGGTTTTTAAACCTTGGGCTACGCGAGGATCGTATGAATTGTTTTTAAATTGACGATTAGATCGTTTACTACTCTCAACAAGTGGGCTAATTATACATATAAATCATACTATGGTTTATTGCGTATAATATCTTGCGGCGTATTATAAATGAAAACGGATTGTAAACAGTAGGCCTATATAATTTTCATTTGCCGACGATATTTAGAAATGTTCGATTAATTCCCTTTTTAAACTTACTTGCGCAAATATGTCAATTGCGTATTATTCTACTTAATCAAGGACTGGACCCAACATTCTCGTGGACAAGAAGAATGCACTTAACGTGGAACTATTTAGCAAGTAAGGAAACTGGAAATCATTTACTAGTATCTCGTCTTAATTTGTCGTTCACATTTCCAGTCGTTAATATAGGCTAATACATGTTTTGAAATATGTGCTGGTTCAATGCTACAAATATTAAATAAAAATATTTAAATTAAACGAATAAAACAAATATATGTTAATTTTTATCGAACAAAATTAATACATGCATACATCCGTTCTCCTCTCTTTTTCTCTATAATATGTTTTATTAATTTTTCACAATAATTCTATAGCAATAGCTCCAACATAATTTTTGGTACTATTACTCGAAACGGTAAAGTTAAGACACTGGCAAACAGGACACATACATTTTATATGAATGATATTTCGGGGATATGTCTGTGTCAGTGACGTACGCACATCTATAGGCGACAACCACAAATCCGCTCAGCCTTTCGTAGTTTCACAGGCATCATAACGAGAAATATCAGAAATATATATATATATATATATTAATATATATATATTCAATTTTTATATGCAGCAATAAAGTGTATCCATTTTGTCCCGTAAAGGAATATGCCCTCGTCTAAATATAGATGAATATTTACTAGGCGTGTGTAAGCAAATATAACGGTATTTTGTGTAAATTAATTAAGACATGTAACTATAATAAAACGCATGTGATAATTCGAGAGATCAAAATATTCGAAGAGTCAGCTAAATAAATAAAAAAATCACTGTTCTAATAATTACTGCGGCTGCTAATAATAATTCCAGGGGAAAGGGTTAACTAATGTCAAGTCCTTAATATTCATGTATTCAAAACCAAATAAATTCAAAAAGGTGCTATACGGTAAATTAGCTGGCTACACAAGGTATTGTTGTGTAATGAATGCTAACTTTTATGTGGACGTATATTGCCCTGATTTGCGAGGGAGCGCCGTGTGCGTTGCTCCGCGGGCCAATGCGCCGCGCTCCTTGACATACGCTTACTATTCTTCCGCGCCAACAGATGGGCACACGCATTGTCCCCCGCGTCTTCCGATTTCAAGCAACAGCTGCTGTCACTTCCACGGGAAAGCACGCAGAGATAGCCCCCATTCAACCTATTGGTTCTGGGCGCCAGATTGGCCTGGCGTTTGCTCTTTTTAGGGCAATCATAAACGACAGCCGCATAAAGATTACAAAATCTTTACATCTAAATTATTATTGTCATGTTAACCGGCGTCACGCCAGATCAAACTGGAGGGGGTGTAATACAATAATCATTGTTATTTCGGTGATATAATGACTGATAGCCAATACAATATACATTAGTAAGCAATTACCATAAAACATAAAGACAAAAGCTAATGAACCGGTATAATGTTTATTATTGTTTTCTCTGTTTTGTTACAGGCGAAGAACGTTATATCTGCTGGTACTGCTGGAGAATATTTAAATACCCCAACACACTTAAAGCACACGTTCACTTCCACTGCGCTGTGAGCAACGGGCGGGGCTTTATAAACAACGAGCACGGCAGAAACTCGGAGAACTACAACAAGTCCCCTAAATCTGGGGACCTTCCCAACGCATCGGCCTCGCCCAGCAGCAGCCATAGCATCGCCAGCTCAGAGGCCGCCAAGCGCAACGTGTCTTCCTCCCCGTTTGCAAACAGGAGTGCGGTAGCAAAGAAAACGAGCGTGGAAGAGCAGGACAGGGCCCTGGATATGAGCGTGCCCTCGACGAGGGGCCACGGACACCTCTTCGGACTTCGCGCAGCATCGTCGTCGATGAACATGGGATTTCATCCAGGTGTGCGCTCCGCATTCAAGCCCGCCGGGCTGGCTAAGATTACGCCCGCAGAGGTGTTACGAGAAGAGCCCAACGTGAAGACCAATGGTCTGGGCTTCGGTAAACTTTTAGTAAACAAGTCCCCCCGCTCCCTTTCCGAACCTTTGTCAAGCAGCCAACCTTCCAAGTGCGTCCATCCAATAGACTCAGCATCGCCGGTAGCACAGTGTACTAATGCCATGCGGGGCTTTCCCTTGCTACCTCACTTTGAGGAATCCTCTGCCTTCAAGCACGTGGACAGTCGCCTGCACACCGGGCTCTCCCCTTCACGTTACTCACAGATGTCCCCCGGCTTTCATTTTGAACGATTTTCCCTCCCCCAGTTTGACGGCACCAAGCCCTACAGCGCAGACTGTAACATCCCCTTAATGCCATTCACCGTATACAACGGAGAGTTGCTGTACAGCTCCCCGTACTATCCGCTCAAATTTCACTTCAGCAATCTTCTCAAATACCCCGAGTCCGTGTCCTACTTCGGCGCTCCGTCTCTTAACCCCGACCTGAGCTCCATCACTAACATCGACAGGGAGATTGCCATGCACACGCAGCAACTGTCGGAAATCGCTGCTGAAAAGAACCGAGGGAGACTGGACCCCACGCCCGCCTCGACCCCCGGTCCGGGGAAACCCAAAAAGGGTCACCTCTGTCTTTACTGCGGTAAGCTGTATTCTCGGAAATACGGCCTGAAGATCCACATGAGGACTCACACAGGCTACAAACCACTGAAATGCAAGGTCTGTTTCCGACCATTCGGCGACCCCAGCAACCTCAACAAGCACATCCGTCTGCACGCGGAGGGCAACACCCCGTACAGGTGTGATTTCTGCGGGAAGGTGCTTGTTCGTCGGCGAGATCTGGAAAGGCACGTCAAATCGAGGCACCCCGGGCAAACGATTAAAAAAACTGAGGACAAAGCGGAAGACATGTTTCAGGAACAGGAACAAAAGAGTGACAATGACAGCGACGTTGATGTGTGCTTTACTGATGATCAAAGCGAGCCAGAATCAGGCAAAAATAACGACCATTAGAGAACTGTACAGTCATACAGAGAAAAGACAAAATACTGTGATCTTATATGATTTATACTTGTATAGATTTCCTTTTATTTATCTTTTAAATACACTATATGACAAAATAATAATAATAAAAAAAACATCGGGCGGCTAATTTCATGCAGAGAACTAAAGGAAATTACCACTGATTAAAAGATATAATTGTTTTCTTCAATCGTGTTTGCAGTTTCCCCAAGTCGACATATTAGCTTCTGCACGGTCACTGAAGAATGCGTTGACAGGACTTGATAAATTGTACGTAGAAAGCTAGATATTTTACACCAGCTACTCTTTAAAAGTTCTCATATATACACTAAATGTTTTCCCTAAACATTTCTCCCCGAAATATTTAATACAGTAAATCAGTATCATGAGGGATCATGGAAGGTTATCGGCTGCACTTTAACCCGCAGACAAACGCTGAAAACGTTTAAACCTATAAATGAATAAATATTTTCTTTAACCTGATGAAAGAGTGCGCCTTTTAAATTATACTGATATTGTAGCATTGTTTTTGAGGTGAAGTCAATCTGTTTCAAACGATAATTATTAAAATAATGCCCTGATGTATCAACGTTTTGCACTTTCCTGTAAAAAGAATTAATTCTGTTTTTTTTAATTTAATTTTATTTTGATGGCACAATCGCCGTGCGACCACCACCGCTCTACTGTCAACGTTGAAATCAACTCTAATATAGGATCAATGAAAAGTGTCATTTAAAAAGTGAGACTACAGTTTAAAATGTATTATACAATTAATTGCTGTTTAATGAGATGACATACGTTTCTTTAAGAACCGACATTTGTATATCAAATTCTTCCTCCATCCTTGTAATTGCTTCTTAAATAAATATAACTTTAATTTTTAAATCGTCAAAGATGTGATCTCCGACTTTTAAAATAATAAATTAATGACCTTTTTTAATTTTTTTTTTTACTACGGATTGTGTTTAGTCAATACAAAAAGAAATCATAGAAATGCATTGTTTACTTGAAAAACTGGACAGTGTTAGTAAGCGCAGAGGAGTAACAGATATAGGCCTATAGTTTTGTCTGAATTCTGAGTTGGTTTCGTGTGACTACGTAATCCTCACTATTTAAGTGCAGGTGCTGTTGACGCCGCCGCTTTTCCTGTCTTCTCCGCGCACCTTATCTTTAGGGCGCGCGGCACTTCGGCAGGTATTTCGGCTTCCTCTCGTGATGTTATCACGACCAGACGAAATGCTTCAGTTGTGAACTCTACAGTATATCCGCAGTAAATCGTCGCCAAAGTGGGCAGGTAGTCATTAAAACACACACGGGACACTGACAGGTAGACCGGCCGCTATTCAGAGTGAGATTGACGGTGTTCAGCTTGATCGTCTGATAAAATCCAGAGAAACAAAACCACAAATTCTGCTATGTGAGGACGAGAAGCTGCAATTACAGATATAAGCAAAACTGCTGGAGGATTTCTGCAGCAGTGGATATTAAACCGGTAATAATAATGATAATAATGATGATGGTGTAAAACTGAAGGTAAATATCTTATTAAATTATACATAGGTATTTATGACAAACTTTATAACATTGTAGTACATTCACTTGTCGACCCGAAGCCCAATTTAGTTACAATAGGTTAATAATAAGATAAATATTCTTGTTGGCTGGACTTTCAACTGGTGGGCTGTGTGACACTGTAATCCAATCGCTTCTTCCTGCCACCAATCAGGCGACCATAAACCTGTCAAGGTCAGGCTGAGTCTTGCTCTCCGTCAGCAAACCGCCGGACATCAAATTTATGGCGGCAGGGTATTGTGGACGGGGACCTTTTAGTCGGGAGAGGAAAGATAAGGAGGACCAGACAATAGGAAAACTTTTAAGTCTTGTTTTCCGGAGAGATGCCATTGGAACACAGCCTAGCCAACTACACGAAACAACAGAAAAAAATGTTTTTATATAAAATCTTTAAATTATTTAGATGCAATTAAAATTCACGATATTTTAAAAAGTAAAAAGTAAAGTAGAAACGTATTTTTCCTTCGCGACTAAAGGAGGGTGCTGCATGTATTTAATTATAAACTGAGCGATATCAAATATAAATGTGATCTGGGTCCAACGCAGATGATTTTTATACGCGGTCTGTTTGTTCATTATAAAATGCGTCTCTTCACGTAGGACATCCAATCATCCATAATTTTCTTGATTGTAAAAATGGTTTCCTCCCACGAAATCCAGCCGAAGTACGCTGTCAAGCGTCACCATCGCTGAATGTGGGACCGAATCTTGGTTATAATTAGCGTTTATTTATAAGGATTAGACAAAAGGCGGCAAGATCCGTTCTGAGTGGTGACCACGCCTCCGTGCCTGTATCACTCGCTACCAGTACTGACTGCCTTATTAACCGAGATAACCGGGCAGAATTTCATGTTGTAACATGAAAATGTGCAAGTATACATTACCCTGTACGTGGTACAAACTGATTCACAATGGCGAAAGTGCCTGTGAACTAGGGGGGTCAGGGGGCTCAGTACTTCATAGCGGCCCCTGATTTCCAAAAATTTAAATTTATGTACTCTGCAACTCTTACTTTGGACCGCTCCCCTCTGTAAATTCTAGGTGTGTGTATGGGAATCAGAGCATGTGAGCAAATAGAGTCTGCATTTTATGAGTAAGTTTGGCTGCAGGGTCGGCTCAAGGCCTTTATGGAGGATAATGGGTCCAGAAACTCTCTCCTACCCCATCTTAGACCCAACATGCATTTGGAACCATCCTGTCCTACCAGCCGTGTAATCAATCAGATACATTCAGGCCATAGTCAGCCAGAACTTCAGCCTGGAAGTCGATCAAACCTCCGCACACCCATTATTCTATTATTAAAATGTACCACCATTATGGCTTTTACATCACAAATGAACAATCAAACAAACAAACAACATCAGCCCACTGTCCTGAAAAACTAATGTGTAACAAGGGCCAGAACAGTTCCCATAATGAACATGCATCCTCGTAAGTCTCAGACTGACTGCAACGGTGATATATTTATGTATGCACTCCATGTCATATATGCAGAGTGCATGTGGAAAAATGTAGAAGGACCACCAGTCTTGACATATCTGACTATGAGAGGCTGGACCGAAACATTAAACAGAAAGGAGTGTGTACACACATGTTTATAGGCTTACTCGCGGCACGAGCCAACGCCTGTACCTGTAACCGCAGAGCTGACTGAACCATTGCAGTCACACCATCTTGTACCACAAATGGGGGAGGGGGGGGCGTGCTCCAGTTATTTAAATCTGATTAATTACATCAACAAAAAAATCAAAACAGAATTTAATTAAATTAGATCCTTATTCACTGGGTGGCCTTGAGTTTTGTCCAAAACCAAACAAAAACAGTCCTCTGAACGCCTTGCATCACAACCCTGGCAAAGAATGAGCATGAAGCAGAAAGACAGAAAGCAGTGTGCTGTCTGTCTAGCAGGCTCTGTCATTGTGCCGTTAGCAATTAAACTGCTAATGTAAACCAGGAACGTCTTCGCTATTCAGCGCTGCAAACAAGCCATAACACCAAGGACGGGAAGACTGCTGCTTAAGGAGCCACACTTGTGACCAAGACCCTGAAGTTCAAGTCTCCCTGAAGGCTCTGTCACTGTCCCATTGAAGAACTTTCAAAGATTTTTTCAAAAGTTAGTACAAGGTGATGTTTAAATCATTTTTCAGCTAAGTTAGTCCCCTGACATTGAGGTTTCTGTATTTAATTCATTACAATGCATTTGATTCATGCACAAAACACGTAAGCAGAAGTGATATGACATGTGTCACAGTGTTTGTAAGGAAAGCACGCGCAGGCATAAACCCACAAACCAAACAAACAGCTGTGCCTTACCTCAACATATGCTGAATTGAGCCAAACTGTTGCATCAAATGCATGCCAATATCATATCTTTCACAAGGGTGCAGCAGGGGGCATGACGGTTAACGGCTGCAGGTTCAAGTACTGAAATAGTGACCCTGCTGGTATTTCACCTGAACTTTTCCAGTGGAATGCCTAGCTCTTTATAGCTGGATTAAATTGTACCACTAACTACATTGGATGAAAGCATCAGTTAAGCAGCATGTTCATTTCCAGTGTGCAGGACTCCACTCCCAGATGATTCTTTCATCCTGATTTGGAAATATTTCATACAAAAGAACTGAAAGTGTAACTATTTTGGCTTTGGCTGCCATGATAGTGTTGTGTTAGCGAAGTTTTACCTTGACAAGACAATCTAGTGCCAGGAACAGTATTTGAGTGTATTTCAGGTGATGCTTTTGTGTACAGGTGTTAAATGTTGTATTGTGATTAATTCTGGAACTGTGGTTTATAAGATATGCTAGGTGGATGTCATGAAGTTAACAAACTACCAGTGCCAAGCAAAGTTGCAGCTAGAAATTCTGGGACCCTTGAAAAAAATGTCACCTTGGGTCTACCAATAGGGATTCCACCTTCCCTAAAAGGAGCCTAGCAGGGGGTCCCCCACTGTACAGTGTTACAGAGCTCATCTTCAATATCAGGGTACACTGCTCTGACCCCCCATACCCACTATAACACACTGATCCCTGACCCCCCCATGCGCACTGTAACACACTGACCCCTGACCCCCCCATGCCTACTTTAACACCCTGGCCCCTGACCCACCCCCATGCCC